CCCCCACCCCCACCCCCGCCGGGGCCCAGAGATATGGGGTGAGGTGCCCTCAGTGAGTCACATGGAGCAGCAAACACTAGGCACCTGCTGTGTTACACCTTCCAGGTAACCTGTGCTGACTGTGTGTTTACAGAGATGGCTCTAATGAAAGGGTATCATTGTTGCTGTACTTTGACCTAGCGGGAGGCACCAAAACTCCAGCTGTGACTCTTGTCCTCTTTGTTTTATTGTTTTAAAATAACTGTTCTAAATTTTGGTGAAATAAATTGAGAAATGCTATGCTGAATGGGTTTCTTGGCTGCATAACTTCTAACAACATCTATTGCGTCCTGACATTTTCCAAAGGGTCAACAACACGCCATGTTATCCAAAATTATTTGACCCCAGGACCACTTTTTCATACCTGTTCATATCTCCAGGAATTCCTTAGAGCTCCACTTTAGAAAACATCTTTTTTTATGCACATAATGCCAAATATCATTTCATTTTAAGATCTTGACTTCTAAATAAAGAATTACCTGCTACCAAACACCATAAATGCAATTATAGATATCAATTTCTTCTATAAAAAACTCCTACCCTCCCTCCCCCGCCCCTCCCTGGGGGGGGGGCTCTCTTTAGACTCCCCTGCTTTTTATTGGCTTCTAGTCATTATGCTCAAAGACTGGTCCTTTTTGGTCTCGAATACAAGGCAACTATAAGTAATACGATTTTTTTTTTTAACTCATAGCAAGTGAACTTGCTCCTTTCGAGGGTGTTACTCCTGTGCTGCTTGCCTGTTCAGGCAACATGGCCATCCTGCAAACCTCCAACCCTTAGGCACTGTTTTCACAGCCTGCACCAACCATGTTTTTCAAATAATTCTCAGTGTCCCACTAGCACAGTGCCAGGCACCGGTACATAGTACATGCTCAATAAATTCGGGTGTATGACTGAGAGAACAAAATGAAATAGACGAATCAAGGGAAAAGGTCGGGGTGGGGGTTAGTATTAGCAAAGCTCAAGTTGAGAAAGAGGCAACAAAGCTGAGACACAAGGGGGCGCACTTCCCAAGTCCAACCCAGCCACCCATCCCAGGGGACCCACAGGAGCCTTCCCAGGACCCCAGTGGCTTCCTACTTGTTGTAGAGGACAATGTCAGGGATCCAGATCATCTCCGAAGGGACCCGGAGGGATGTGATGTTGCCAAAATCAGCCGGGTTCCAGCGCAGCTTGTAGTCGTTCCACTCCTGTGCGTGGGGAGGGGCGTCAGGTCACCAGGTGCTGTCCTGGGCGGGGGGCCCCCAGGGCAAACGTAGGGAAGCTTGGGGACGCCCCAGCAACCTGATTCAGGAGCACCACAGAGCCCCTCCTCTAGCCCTACAGGCTAGAAAGGGGCCCCTTTCTAGCCCTACAGGGTAGAAAGGGCTCTGAGCTGGGAATTAGCAGTCTGGTCTAAAATGGCCAACCCTCTCACTTTGACCCAGTTCTACTACTCAGAGTCCCCTGCATACCGAGTGGATGTCACCCTGGTCCCGCCTCTTGTCCTCATTCTGCCACTCCCTAGCTGGACAACCCCGGCAGGCCATCTCACTAATTCGTAGTAACATTTTTTTAGTGCATCACATTTTACAAAGTTTGTTTTTTGTTTTGTTTTTTTAAGATTTTTATTGGGGAATTGGGAAGGGGAACAGACAAGTTGCTGTCCTTTTGTTCTTCAGTCTAGTTGTGGATGATGTTGCTTCACTGGCCCAAGTTGGCACCATCATTGTGCTCTTCCCTGGAGAGGCAGATCAGTCGCCGGCTTCTGGACGGCCGCTCACTGCGGCTGCTGGCCGCTCCTGCTGGCTGCTGGCTACACACGGTAGCCCATGGCAACCCACTGCAGCAGGGGCTGCAGCCTACGCCCTCATCCGGGACTCATGGCAGCCCAGCTCCAGGTTGAGCTGTTGTTCAGCATCTTAGCTGTGGAGGGGGCAGTGTCACTGGCCCTCATATGTGGGATCCGAACCGGGGCCCTCTGGTGTCCCAAGCCAGCTCTTAACCAATGCGCCACTTGGCCAGCCCTACAAAGTTTGTTTTATACCCTGTCTAGGAAGAACCTCAACAGAAGAGCGGGACAAGGAATGCCCAGTGGGTGGAAGCACTTCCTCATTTAACAGGTAATGAGTCTGAGGAGAAGTTGGGCAAAAACCAGCTGGATTATACAGCTGAGAAAGGGGAGTCAACCAGTGACTTTCAAACTGTGCTCCAAAGCGCCCCCTAGAGGTTCCAGCAACCCTTCCACTGGCAGGTCCAAGTGAATCTGTTTTCTCTGCCAAACCAGGTTAGTATTCTTTGCTCTCTGAGGTTTTCCTCTATGGCATTATCATAAGTGGTGATTACATGTGGATTTGCATATTTATTTATTTAATGTCTCTGTAAGGTCCATGAAGCCAGGGGACAACATCTGTTTCACTCTGCATGGGTAGCACCAGGCCTCTGTTAGATGCTCAGGAAATGGGTATCCAAGCAATGTAAAAACCCCAAAGTTGTATGGTCCTATCTCTGGGAGGGTTTTCCATGTGCCTTCTGGACCTAAAAGGAGTAACTATTCCCCAACAGATAATGACTGGTGTTGACACACAAGCCTGTCCTTTGCCTCACAGGGGCTTATAATAATTAAAATAATAACCACTACCATTTATAAAGGCAACTTTGTTAGGGGCTCTTTAGATCATTTTCTTTTTCTAAGCTTCACAACAATCTTTCAAGTTAGGGCGAGGAAAGTGAGGCAGAGGGTACCCTCTGCAAGCAGTAAGTGGAAGCACCGGGCCTTGAACCCCGGCCTCCCCAACTCCAAGCCTGTTGCTTTTGTGCATTTACGCTAAAATAGTGCAGTGTTGTACCCTTGAAAGACCCCCGTGCATGATGCCTGTTCCTCTCTAGGAATAGTCATGTAACATTAACACAAACGCATCGACCTGAGTAAGGACCCAGGAAGGGGTTCCTGGAAGCAGGCCCATGACAGGGAGCGCATTGCCCCTGCTCCTGCCTCTGCCAGGGGAGGGTCTCTCACCTGCTTTAGCCAGACGTTGGTGGTCATCATTTGGTTCTTCTCATCCTGGCCAGTAGCAGCGGGAGAGAAAGGAAAAGCAGTTGGAGTGATGGGTCAACCCCAGAAGACAGGGTAGCATGGGATGGGCCCCCCACTCACCAGAAGAACCTTTTTTATGATACTGCAATCCCAGGCTGCCCACGACCCCTTCCTGACACTGTCTTACTCAGGATGGTGCAGGCCATTTGGGTCCTCTGGGCTTGTGTCCAGTGGAGCAAGCAAAGCATCTAGAAAACCCACTGCTGCCAATCAGTGCCCTTCAGGGGGGACTTCAGGGATGGGGATGGAGCAGGGGGGAAGCTCTGATTAAGGGGGGCTGGGGGACTGAAGAGGGAAGGGCTAGGAGGGGAGGGAGGACTCAGGAAAGGGGCCCATGGTCTGGGGACTGATCCCAGGATTGCAAAGGGTGGTGGGACAGGCGCACCACATCGATGAGCTGGGCGATGGACAGTCCAAAGCGCACGATGACCACGTCAGAGGTGTTGGGCACCGGCCGTGCCCAGCGGTTATAGCCCCTAAATAGGTGTTTGAAGAGGCGGTCTTCAGCTTGGATGTGGGGGGCTCGCTGCGCCAACGCTGTGGGACAGGAGGGAAGGGTACGGTCTCTGAGTATGTGATGGTGGGTGCTTGGCTCCCTCTCCCATCAAATCAGAGCCCCTCAACCTCACTGAGCCTCAGTTTCCTCATCTGTAAAGCGGGGACGCTATCCAGAACCTATGTCACAACACCATTGAGGATTCAATATAATAATGCTTATTAGAGCATAACAAAGCAACCAGTACATGGTTGGAGCTCAAGAAGTGTCAGCTACTCTGTGATTATCCAGTAAGAAGACCTGGAAATAAGTGCTGAGGAGGGGTGCTGAGGGATAGGAATAGGGAAGAAGTCAGGTGAGATTCAACCTTCAGCTGAGCAGCCTCAAAGGGACAGCAATATGGGGGAGACGTCTGGTCTATGGGGGGTCAGCTGCAGGGAGAAGGGTTTTCACGTATGACGGGGAGCCTTCCATTCCCATCCACTTGTCAATGAACCCCTATGATAACCATGAAATCCTCTGCCACTTTGGGCATCTCCCCCATTTTTCCTTAAACCACTGGCATTTGCTCCTTCTTATTAGCTAGGCAAAATTCGCCCGAAATTGTCCAATGGAATTCCTCATGTTTGTTTTCTCCGTGTCCTGCAAACAGCTTCAGCTCTTAGAGTTCTGATGCCTGAGCAAGCGGAGACTGCCGCTCTAAAATTCAGAAAAGCACATCAGAAGCAGCAGTTGTCATGTATTGAGTGCCTGCTGTATCCCAGGTGCTAGTCACAAACTCTCATCTCCTGTAATCCTCATAATAGCCCCGGGAGGTTCACAGCACGATTAGCATTGGCAGGTGAGGAACACTGAAGCTCGGGGAGGTTCAAGGTGACACGACTGCCAATATCAGAGCTGTGAGCGCCCCACCACCTTCTAGCTTTGGCAGTGAGCCCACCTACAGCAGTGCCCTCCATGCGGCGTAAGCTTGCAGGTGAGACATGATGTCCTAGTGATGATACCACTCACCTGCTGGGATTAGAAGGAGCCACCACAGGCCGAGCTTTGTCATGGGTGGGAGTGCAGAGTGGGAGGGGCCCATGGCTTCAGAGAGGAGCTGGAGGCCCCTGGGCATCAGGAGAACAGCAGACCAGGGCTTTGCTGTAGGGTGAACCCGCCTCCCCAGCATGGCCTCACGTAGCTGGCACGGCCAAGGTCCTGTTGGATCCCACGCAGCCTCCTCTCACCGCCGAACCTGAGCAAGCCCAGGAAAGGATCTCAGGGTCCTGCATCCTTGACACAGATGTGCTTGTGCTCCTCACATTCCACAGAGGTGCCAGAGGCGAGCAACCGGGCCTCCCGGGAGGGCACGGCTCTTGGGCTCTCCCTGGCTTGAGGAACCAGCATCTTTCACTTTCTCAGGGTCAAGCAGCTACTCTGCCCTAAGATGAGCCTTGACCCACTGGACAGAGGAGGGCGCAAGACAAGACCAAAGCCACCATTGCTCTGGCCTCAGTGTCGCATGTGTGAAATGCGGATATCATATTGCAAAGTGTGGTCAATAGAAGAATTTGGGTGCTATTTATGATAGCCAAAAGGTGGAAGCAGTCAAATGCCAAAGCTGATGAATGGACAAAACAAATAGGATACATCCACGCAATGGAATACTGTGCAGCCATAAAAAGGAATGACGTGCTGACACGCTACAGCAAGGATAAACCTTGAAAACACTATGCTAAGTGAAAGGAAGTAACTACATATTATATGATTCCACGTCTATGAAAGATCCAGAATAGGTAAATCTATGGAGACAGAAAGCAGTTTAGTGGTTGCTGGGGGCGGGGAGGATGGAGACAAGGGAGCGAGTGCAAATGGTACAGGTTTCTTTTCAGTGTGATGAAAATATTCTGCAATTACATAGTGGGGGTGGTTGCACAACTCTGTGAATATACTAAATTCACCAAATTGTACATTTTAAAAGGGCGAATTTTGTGAATTATGTCTCAGCAAAAGCTGTCAAAAAATAAACAAACACCTTGTGGGTTAATAAGAAATAGCCATTTCTCTTTAGACTATGGGGGCGTTGATATAAACCAGAATACTTGTACAGATGGCTGATTCAAAAAATGATTCTAGTGATGACAAGGACACTGATGTCAAAGACGTGAGTGAAGTGTTAGAATATTGAGAAATATTAGAAGTGTTAGAAAAACGGAGAATTGGGGAAAAGCTGTATTTTTAAGTTAATGTATTACTATATAAATATGTGATTTAAAATGTGTGTCACTAGAAAATACCGGGGGTGCCAAAAAATATATATACACATGACTTGTATTTGTCTTTTGTTATCGGTATATATTGAGTATTAAATTTTTAATACAGTTTTTTCCTTTCTTAAAATGTGTATACATTTTTTTGGTACCCTCTGTTTATTAACTATTACTTCAAAAAGTTTACGTATTCAAGTTAGTGCCTTTAAAAAAAATAACCTTCTTCATTGGGAGATTGAGGCTGTCTTATGTTCAGGCACACGTTTCTATGAAATGCCGACTGTATGTTAGAGTCTGGCCAGGTTCTCAGAATATATAACACTGACTCTCAGTACAAATAATGGGCCAGAGGTTCCCTTTGGGGTTGCTGAGAATCTTCTGGAACTAGATAGGGGTGATGCTTGCACAACACTGTGAATAAACTAAATGTCACTGAAGATAAAGTTTATGTTATGTAATTTAAAAAGAAAAAAAGAATATGGGTGAAAGTGCTTTAACAATGTAACCACCAAGTGTCTGGGAGAATTAACAAAACCTCTTTACTCTAGATCACTCTCATCCCCCCAGGCCA